TATCAATATTACTATTTAGAGGATTTTCCTCTTAAAATAAGAAACTCTTCTTGGCGCCTATTTTAGTATAAAATATACTTAAAGTAAGTGGGATATCCTCAAAACAAGAATACAATTTTTTCGGTGTACTAATTATAAATGTATTATTACTAATACGTTTATAATACATTTATAATTCATTTACAATTCATTTACAGTTCATTTATAATTTATTTATGATACATCTGTTATTTTATATTTATATATATATTAAAATGATTTTTTACATATGTATATTTAAATTGTCGATAATATTACAAATCAGAAAACGGATAACTCCAGATATTCAAAATTTTAAGAAGTGGTAAGGCAGTTGGAGTCAAAGCACAGTTGTTGTTGTGTATAAATGTAATAATGAAGTTCTTTATTTAATAGTTTGCAAAAATGACGTCGATAATATTGTTGTATATCATTCGTTAGTGTTCAGTTGTTAAATTTCTTCGTCGCGTCTTTTAGAAAGAAAGAAAGAGAGAGAGAGAGAGAGAGAGAGAGAGAGAGAGAGAGAGAGAGAGAGACGGTGAATCTCTTAAATGTCTCTCTCGCATGAAAGTGCAGGACTTTATTATTTTTTTTTCAGTGTATTCGAGATTACTCTCCGGCAGACCAGGCATAAAATCGCAGGGATTTTCGTTTCTGTGAGTACGGAACTCGCAAAAATACGGTAATGTCATTCACATCGGGATTCCGATCGAAAGGCGCGCGTAAATAACGGGGGAAAGGTGCATGCACACGCTGTATATTTCCTCTCGCAGCTGTTTCTCTCGCGCACTACTAATCACACACATTTTCTCTTCTCGTTCATTTCTCCACGGATTCTTTCTCATTTGCTTATTACTCTCGATTTCCGTAGAAAAATTTCTCTCCGCTGAATATTTTTTTTTTTTTTTTTTTTTAACAAAATAGTCAAGAGATTTCAAACTCTCTCCGCATACGCGGAGATGGCAAAACAAAAAAATGATGACAGAATCAGAAAGCAAGGAAATTAACGAGCAACTTTTGTCACTTTTCGAAAGAAACGTGTAGAGAACAAATATTGTTGGATATTCGAGCGCGACGATCAGATTTGTTTTTCGCTCGCGAGAAAATGACGACGTGCACAAAAAGGCGCGACGTTACGCCGAGCGACTGATTACAAAATTCAAATTTTGCAAAAAAAGACGTGTACATCATCTCCGTGGTGCTTGGCGATGTTCGCCAACATTTCTCGGTAACGGTAAGCGGTAAGAATTTCGCACGAGAGCTGCGGGGCACAAGAAAGGTCAGATTCCAGACGTTTTATGGCGAGAGAAGTACAAGACCGGCGTAGACACAAATTGCCTACCTGTCGCTTGTAAATAAAAGATCGGATCTGCATTAAAACAAACGACCGTATATGTAGAATATATTTTCCGCGTGTAAAGACACAAGCGGTCTTAACGAGCTACGAAACAATAGATCTGTTGTTTTCGCTGCATTTGCTTCACGCATTTGAGATGAAACAGTATGATATGTAATTGCACACTGGAGAAAGAGAGAGAAAGAGAGAGAGAGAGAGAGACAGAGAAAAAGATGGAAATGAGAAAAGTACAAGAAACTCGACGGAAAGACCGACAACTCTAACGTGTACAAAGTATCCTCTCGTTAGCGAGGCATATTTCATCTCGCAACGTGCGCACTCGTCACGCGAGATAATTTCTCGGAATAATGGCATTTCGTGATGATCGGGTTTCCCCGTTCAAACTTCCTTCCCTTCGAATCCCCTCCCCCGGAGAGTTTCGGTCATTTTTCATTTTTCACCGTGAAAATTCACGGTTTTCTACGCAAAAAAACAACGTACAATTTTTTTTTTTTCGCAATGCTCTCGAATAAAATTGGGCCAGTGCCATTTATCATCTCCCACATTTGGAGATCGTTTCGAGCGGCGCTCGTGGCTTTTACCTTTCACCACCTATGTGCGCGACGCGATGCGCTCGCGCGGAATCGAATTCTTCCTCCCGTGCAGCGCTCCCATATATCGTGCGACTTTCTTAAAATCGATCATCGCGCGTTATTTTAAATCGATGTCGGAAATCCGCTGGAATTTATTTATTTGCGCGCGCGATGCGACTATATATATGTATATATATATATACGCGTAAATAATGAAGATCCCGAATGAAGATAAGCAGCTTTTTCATTTTGCAACGCTATTATGAATGGTATTTAATGTGTGACGTAACGGTATATTCTAATACACACACACGTGTAATTTATCTTGCGAAAGATCGGATGCGCGAGTACGGCGCGTTTATTATTACGTACAGATGAATAGTGTTTTTTTTTTTTTTTTTTTTTTTTACTTATCTTCGATCTGTACTAAATTTTAGAATGGAGAAAGGCGCGCGAGAGAATCGAATATTTTTAATGCGCGTCCCATATATTTTCTCCGAATTTAACATCTCCTTTCGCGAACACGAGTATCGATTTCGGGGTCGTAACGTTTTTCCGAGCTAAGTGTGTAATTATAAAGGGACAGACTGTTTTATACGTATCACATGTCTGTGATGTATCTGATATCAGGTCTACCGGAAAGTTCTGTTCGTTTTTTGGAATAAAACAAAATACAAATTTTTCTTACCGTCAATAAACTTTATTAAATAATATAATTGCCATTATTATTAATGGATTTCTTGCCAGCGTGAGAGCAATTTGTATATCCCATTTTTGAAAAATTAAGAAAAATTTGTATTTTGTTTTATTCCAAAAACGGAAACAGAACTTTCCGGTAGATCTAATATATACAGAACGCTCCGAAACAAATCTCTGCGCATGTGGGAACAAAAAAAAAAGTACGTTTCTGCGAAAGCGCATTTCCTCTTGCGCACCTTGCGCGATACGTCGTATACCGTTTCCGTCTTCTTCGGGACACTCTGTATATATGATGATTCTGTCCGTGGTCGTATCTAAGGGGGACGTGAGTTCAATTCGTGACCTGCGGATCGAGAGAACCGGCAAGCGCGCCATGACGCGAAAGGTAATCATAGACAAGAGCGTGCCTCACGACCGGTGCGCGCACTTGGCTAACTCTTGCGCATTTTCTCTTTTCGACTTATATAGGTTAGGGAATAGACTTGATCGATTGGCAAAATTTTTTCTTGACTTATACACACACACACACGCACACACACACACGCACGCACACACAATATGGTGGCGGTATTTCTTCGATTTTTCTCGTTACCTTGAAAATTGTATTATTTTATACTATATTGCGAATCTATTTTGCAGCTTGTATCTTTCTCTTTCTTTGTATATAATCGCTCAATGAGAAATTGAATAAAGATTAATTTTTCACGCCGCCTCGTCGGTCGACCGCCAAGTGAAATATTAACGAAGGTGAATGGGTAGGCAGGTGTCTGCAATCGGGATAATGACTATTACACGCGCAGTTTAACTCCTTCCGCTATATGTGTCGGTACGACGTGCGAGCGTGCAGTATATATATATATAGACACACACAAAACCTTGTCTACTAATTTGTCTACTACTACTCGCGTACCTATTTTGATTTTTTTTTTTTTTCTATCTTCTTTCTAACATTTTCTTTTTCAAAAAAAGATTTACAGCGTAACCGTATGAAAATTCTCGAGTAACTAGCAATGATATTTTTTTGCCTTCGACAGCATTCGGCGTTGGGACAAGGTTGGAGGATCTATATGGGGCAATGCGTGTCTCGTAAGGCGGGCGCCGTCGTCGCAGCATCCGGTCATCACAACTCGCCCTCGTACCGTATCATGGACAAGGCCCAGAAACAGGTGAGAGCTAGCTGCGAAATTCGTTTCGCAGTTTTCTTCAACCTTCAAAGGAAGCGGAGAAACAATTGGAAACAATTTATGTTCAAGACACCGCGAGACTTGGCGCGTAAATAAAAACTACGTAATTTTATTACGCGCGTAAAATTCTCTGAGAAGCACGTGTGAAAAAAAAACTTCGCTCTTCCTCAGCAGTTCTTATCATCTCGATGGACGTTGAACCCCCCAAGGTCCGTGCGCTCAACCCGCGCACGTCGTTCTCGAGTTCCTATTCTTCGGCCTCGCGGGTCGCGTTCACTCAACTCTGTCCCTCCGACTTCCTCCGTTATTGTATTTACGCAATTGTTCACCGGTGGCACCGCGTGGACGTGCACGTAAACTCTCAGGTACGTGTGCGTGCGCGGCACCTACATTTATAGCGTTGGAAAATCTAGCTGATTGCACGGACGACCGGCCGAAGGCTGCGTCCGAAGTTCAACGCCCTTCCTCAACCACGATGATTCCTACCCGCAACGGTATCGTCTCACCCGCGGAAATATCGCGAGCGTATATATCGCTCGAGTCTGTCGCAAACAACTTTTCAATCGCTTCGCTCCGTTTGTTTCGTTTGAAGAAGACGCGCGCGAATTTCACGCACTTTTTTTCTCACATGATTTGTATTTTTCTTATTTAACGACGTGAAAAAGATTTGTAATTAGCGTCGCGCTGATCTTCCGTTCTTGTGTCTTGAGCGATTATTTGCGATTGAAATCCGCACTTTCAAACGACGTTTTTTTTTACAAGAAAGTTTAACTCTCGGCACGCTCGAACGCTCACCCCGAGCGTATTAATGTGTATTAAGAAAGCTTTTTATTAACCATCGAGAATGCCGGAGCAAGATATATCGATGGTATCCGCTTTCAACGTTTCAGCACGCGTTCACTTTCTCACACGCGATTCGCGAACGAATTAATTATCTTCGTACGTGATGCGATAAACACGTCAATTCGTGTTTTTTTTTTTTTTTTTTTACGTTTAAACGCAATTACGAGGTTGAGAACCTCGCGCTCGATTCCGTGATTCTCGATGCGCGAGACGCAACGAAAAAAACCTGTACCTGTAATAAATTTTATAGAAAAAAAAAAAAAACAGCACCCAGTGTCTCTCTAATTACTCGCGCAACAATATTGTCTCGAGAATTATAATTAGTCCGTGAGACATGAGTGAAAATTGATTTACGGCCAAATTGTCGTTCAACAAGCCGCTAATTTGCGCTAATTTGTAACATAACTTGCGCGGTTTCTTCGACGAAATCATCAACGGGTAATTCGCTTTGCGCTGCTTATGTTCGCGCGTAAATGAACTCTCGTCTTTTTCGAAAACAAAGCGCGATAACGGGTAATACCCTATTTGTTCGGATACACACGCCACGCGTCCGATTCTTGCTTCGGCGGAAGACGCCTTGCTTTCTATTGTTCGCCGTCACGCGGTCGCGCCGCCCGGCCGGAAACCGTGAGGTTCTAAAAACGCGACGACGCCCGGCACCCAACGGTCGCGTGTATGCGCACGGTTCAGGTGTGAAGAAGGAGAAATCGCCCCGAGGATTATTACGCTCTCCCGTGCTTTTCTCTTCCCATTGTTCTTCTTTCTCCTCTCTTTCCGCGCGTTTCCGCGGTTGTGTCGATTCGCACGGCGCGATCGCGCTTGCTCCCGATCGAGCGTCGTCGCGTCTCTCTCTCTCTCTCCTCATTGTGTTCCTCGATATATGTATATATATATGTAATATTCTGTCTCGTTAGGCGCCCCGGAGATCAAGTTCTTCTATCTCGTCGAGATTGTACATCTACAGCGGAAGCACCTTTCTTCTTTCGAAGGTTGTATATACGCGAATAGACTGCTGCGTACACGCAAGAAGGTATCTGTGCGTGAGAGAGTTCAAAAACTCGCGCGATGGACGAAACGACAAAGTCTGTCTTTCGCGAAATGTCTCTTCTTTTGTTATTAACGCTAACTAACGTTATCGCGAGATAACGATAAGGTGCGTCGCGAAGTTGATTATACGGAATTAGATGAAAAATTCCACATCATTTTTTTGTGTCGGGAAATATCTCGCGAGAAGAGAGTTCTTATATATTGCGCGGAGATTGGAAAACCTCCGATCGTTTCTTCGCGTATCGAACAATCTTTTCGAGCAATTGATAAATCAAACACGGCGAATGCGCGTGAACGGTTAACGAATTACAAGATTTGTTACGGAGAGAGAGGCGAGGGAGGAAATTTATATCATATTTATATCGCCGACTTGTATATCATCTGATTCACTGGCGGAAACGTTATAACACGTTGCACATTTCTGCGAAAAACAAAAAATCGCTTTGTCACAGAAGTTTCACGTAATCGTCATTACGTCGCAAACTTCGAACACAATCGACTGATAAAACAATGATGCGTTACCATTTAATGCGTCGAACTCGGTCGCTGAATCATCAAGATTGCAAGATGGTACGTTAGAGTGTCGTGACGTGCAGAGAAATCGATTCGGAACAGAAAGGAGGAGGAGGAAAAATTTCACTCACGGACACGTGGAAACGTGACTTTTGCTTCGCGAAATAATTCTTTGATTTGATTCTTGCAAAAAGAATATACATATATTCGCCAAAGAGCGTGTAAACGCGTGAGTAGATACAATTGGTATTTAATTACACTGAGAAACAAAAGTTGTTGAAGTAACAAAATAGTATTTGATTCAACTATATGCAGCGGGTCACACGGGCTGTCAAATGAAATATTGATTAATGTTAAGAAGATATCACGTTTCAATAGATATATAATATCAAATTCGAGATAATCAAAGGGCTGTAAGAACCGGTTGCAGGATGGAATGCAGTAAAATAATCACAATATTGTTTGTCCAGACGTTTCGACTAATATATTTCAGTCATCTTCAGTGGATTGCTTGCATTTGAATCTCCTCAGATTTAACACTCAAATGATATATAATAATAAAGATATATAATAATTTAGGTTTATACCGAAAGACAATTTAGTTGTTTTAACAAAATTATAATTTGCTTAAATACAGGTACAACTTTGAATGTACAACGCAATATTTTGTCTGCTTATAAAAATAAACAGTTTGATTAGATGAAAAATACTTGGTACAAAGAAATTCAGATTACATTCAATTAAAGTAAATGACAATTGCCTATTTCATCTTTTTTAACAGTATCTTTTATTTGAAATTGATCACAACTTAACGTTCGACAAAACAATTCATGGTTTGAGCGAATTAAATATGTTCGTTACCACTATTGTGTTTAATTCAACTTGTACGAATTTGTTATCTTTATTACCATATGCTTGAATGAAAAAAAAAAACAAGATATTTCAGATAAAACAAACTGAAACTCAACTGAAACGCATTTAGTTGAGTTAATAGTATTTTTTTCTCAGTGTAGAGATAAATAGAGATAACAAAGCCAATGTGCGCGTGCAGCTCCCACAAGTGCTGTGACATTCGAAAACGATAGTTTCATTTGCAACAAAGAAGTTGAAGTTGAACCACGCGCAAGACTGACTTCACGCATTCACCCCCTCTCGCTTCTGCGTCAAGACACCCTCTATATACAATGAGGATAGGAGAGACCTAGGCGCGCGCGGGGGCGCATCCGCAAAATCAGCCCTCTTACGCCGTCGTTGTGTATGCGACGTTGCGACGCCGGCGCAAACGGCCGGATCGATTCCGTCGTGTTCGCTTTTACATCGAAGCTCATTCGACGAAAACGAGCGAGAGCGAGCGAGACGACGAAGGAAGAACAAAGACGAAGGCACACACGGGGGTGACGACGACGACGACGACGACGAGGACGAGGACGAAGACGGCAAACGTCGGTGCGCGGCCGCGCGTTTCTGCGCCTCGACGTCGCGCGGGCATCGCACGTCGTTCTTTACGATGTGACGTATCCCGAAGGAGAGGTTCTTCTGCGCTGTCTCTTCGCGCGGCTTTTCTCAACGATAACGCATTTTTCGCATCATCGCGCGCCGGTTGAGAGAAACAAACCACATGTGACGATGTGAGCTCGACGCAGCTTCGACGAAAACGTCAAATTCCCGTGAGAGATCGATCGAGGGAACACCGTGTGTGTGTGTGTGTGTGTGTGACATTGGCCCGGAACAACGCACACCGTCATGGAGTACCGGTACGGTAGCACGAGATGCGAGGAGGACTCGCTGGAGAACGAAAAGGGCACCGGCGTTGCGGTAAGGGATGCACACGCCCGTGTGCGATCGTCAAGATCCACATACGATACGTGAGACGTTCCACTCTCCTTCGTCGAGAATCCTCCTCTCGCGAGCTGTTAAACAAAAAAAGTTGCCGATGGGAACGTGTCACCCTCCTCCCCCTTCCCCCGTTCATGTGGTGTCGAAGTGCCGGTTTGATCCTGACCGTGTTTCAAAATTACAAAAAGGAAGATAAAAATGAAAGAGTTTTTTTTTTTAGAAAAATCTATCGAGAGAAATCTATTGCACCGAATGACGCAATGTTATCAACAATGTTTTTCACTTTTTTCTGCTTGAAGATTTTGTTGTTTAAAGTTCCAGTGTTTAGAGTAGATTAGGAAATGTTTCCTTATCGGCGACTTATCTCTCTCTCTCTCTCTCTCTCTCTCTCTAATGACTTAATCGAATTTGAGATTACGTTCGAATTCGTCTTGTCTCATCTTTCTTACGCTCGTTACATAAAAATTTGTATATATTTAAGTGTACGTATTTAAAACGTTGCACACAAACGCGTTTTTTTTTTTTAATGCGAATCAAACGTCTTTCATTCGGTCGATTTTAGACCGAAACGCTGCCCTTTTGCCTTTCGCAAAAGTCGAGCGCGAAAATGAATCAAGGCGCTCCCGAGCGTCTTCACAGAGACGCGCCCGAGAGGCGCGAACGCAATCCCCAGATTTGTCGGATTGCCGCCGACTCGGTTACTCTATTTCTGGAGTTCAAATGGGGGTTTGGCCGCGCGGCTGTGCGTGATGGCTCGGACGGGATCAAAACGACATTCGGCTAGTCGAGCCACGTACACACGAGAAAGCTGTTGTTGGTGTTGCGTCGTCGTTGTTGTTTGCCAGTCGTTCGATAACAATGAACAATGCGTTGTTCGCGTGCATATTGTTTCAAACGGAGAGCTTTACTCGCGGCGGGATGCGCCATCGGCTCGGCGTCGTTATATAACGCCGTGCAACTGTGTAGGATTATCGATTAATATTGTTGCAGCCGGGAAAACACGCAGAAATCCGGCTGTGTGTGAATTTCAGGCCCCGAAACCGCGTGGTACGTATGCGCATTCTCTGGGACAACTCCGAAATATAGCACAAACTAAACGAAATTATTATTGACTCGAAAAGAGTCGAGCAAAAAATCAACGCTAGAATTATTAATCGAACAAAATAATTTTTGCGAGAAAAACAGTCAAATGAGAAAAATGATTTCATTAATCTTAACTTTAATTAATTTCTCCTCCGCATATCTATCGTTCGCTCCGTTATCTTTCCTCCTCCTCCTTTTATCTCTTGCGCTCACAGACTACGATCTAACGATAAACTTGTTGTTTCTCGCTGTTTCAGAACGACTTACGGGGTTCTTCGAGGCGCGGCACGTCGCACACGCGCGGCACTGCAATGTCCTTCGGCTTCCGGCGACGACCCGCCAGCGGAATACCGATGCCGATAGCGAACTACGCGTCCACAGCGGTCAACGAGAAGAGTCTGTTACATCCACGATCAAAATCGGCGGGCCCGGAGCAAGATCGCAGACGGATTACGGATGACGATAACACGATGATTCACAATTCATCATCCGGCCGATCGACACCGCGACTGGCACCGCCGAAAAAGGATGGAATCGGCGTCAGAACCAATCGGTTCGGTTACCGACAGCCGCAGAGGTTTACCAACAAGGTCGGCGACATCTGTAACAGTCACAGCATCAGTCATTACAATCAAGAGAAATTACAACAGCAACCTCCTCAGCAACCGGAGAATTATTTTGTGAAGCAACAGCCGAACAGAGTCGCGCCGCAACATCTGTGCAGCACGACGGCGCCTGCGAAACCTCGCCCGTCACCGTCGAACAACGCGACTTATAATACTGGCGTCAATAGTAATTCAATGACGCAGCACGCGGACACGAACCGACGAGTCTCAGGCATTCCGGAACCGATTGGCAGGTACACTCTGCACACCAGTCATCTACCCTTGCCACAGTACGCTGTGCGAGTGACCGATTCTAACCCCAAGATCGCCAAGACAGCCGCGAATCAGAGCAGAAAGATATCTACGTCAACGTTGAAAGGTTCGTCCAGTTCAAAAGAGGGCTCGATGACCGAGGACTCGGGTGTCAGCAGCCAGGCGGCCGGTCTGGAAGACGAGAGAATTAGATCGATCGATTATATGGATGAAGGATCACTGAGAAGACGCGGCATTGGCAGACCGAGAAATCTACGTATGGTTGTGAACGGAAAGAGCTTTGATGTAAGAGACGTTCGGGACGACGACAGTACAGTCACTGAAATCTCAGTGATTCCATTGCCCAAGTCATTCGCAAACACCGCGGTCAATTTGAATACCGGTTTCGTTCGCGAGCGAGCCACGCAGTACCAACGAATTGTCAACAAAGACAACAGATACACCGACTCGACCGCGTCAATGTCCACCACATCCTCAGAAGGTTATGATGAGGGTTGTCTGAGCGAGGAAAAAGTTTATAAAGATCGATCGCGCACGGAAAAGATTCCGTCTATCAAGTCAGACTTCAGTCCGCCCAGTTCAGACGATCCGGAGTACGGTCATGGCGAGGCTATGGCGGACGAATACTCATTGAGTTCCAGCGACGAATGTCAACGTTCCAATTCGATTATTACGCAGCACACGCAGGGAATAACCGTCGCTGCGAAGAACAACGCGACGCCGAAGAACACATTGCGATCGGTATTGCTCACCATCGAAGATCCGGCGTTTGCCGCTGCCGCCGCAACTACGACCACTCTGATAGACGACGAAACTTCGCCGGTCGACAGCTTATTCGACAGTCCCACCGCTAGCATCACTCAATCAGACGGAAAACCCTCCAAGAAAGATGAGGAACACGTGCACGAGCGCTCGGATAACACCCTCGAAGACGACAGTCCGGGCACGCCGACGAATGCCTCCAACTCGCTCAGCTTGTCCGAGGGTAGAGAATTCTTCGACGACGAGATCGCTGATCAGCCTGGATTGATCTTCGATGACAACAACTCAAGAGGCAGAATCGAAACACAGTCCGCAATGGGGAGCCGAGAAGTAATCACCGAGAATAGCCATACTCTAATCGAGACGAGCTCTAAGATGAGTGAGTACCGTATTATGATACTATTTTTAGATTTCTCGTGTTTTCCAACAGCACATCCGCGAATAAATGAGTTCTCATTGAAATGTTCTAACAAAAGATAATTCTTGACTAAGAGACTTAAAACAAAAAAAAACAAAAACAGATAATTTTTTATAGAAAGTTTTTTGAGACATGAGATATATTTGATAGTTAGTTTATTAAACACGTATACATTTATATGTATGTGATTTATGTTTATAGACGGTGCTCACGTCAAAGGTGTGGTGAATAGTCCTCATCACGGACAGCGTTTACATCGTTCAGGAAGCGTGGACACTTTATCACCTTGCGAATCCATCGCCTCAGATGATTTAATGTTGGATTACGACGGCAGCGACGCGAGCTCTTACGAGGATCAACAGCGGTTAGCATTAAATTAATAACTTGTATAATGATAAGCAAAGTCATTAGTGCAAATATAGAGAGTATATATATATATATCATTGTCGTCTCACTCAACATGTTTGTTTTATGATATTTTAAATCAGATTAAATTCCAATCCCGCGTTGCACGAGCTGGATGACGCCACCATAATTTCCGAATTGGAAGCTCAGGGAGAAGAAGTGATGAGACAGTGGAGTTCATTGCTGAGCACCGCGCATATGCAGGAGGAGGCAAATTCAAATTGCGCCAATAACAATTCCATCAACAGCACAGCGGGCATCAATAACAATCAGGCCAACAGCGAATCTGGGTGTGTATTTGCATAATTTTCTTTTTTTACCTTGTTTGCTTGCATTTAGTCGGAAACGTAAAAACTTCGTGATGCACGACGCTTCTTCGGGGGTTGGAGATAGTAACGTAGTATATATATACTACTACTGTGTGATTAGAGTCACAACGCGTGACGTTGCACTTGCAAATGATATGTAGATTATGCAAAGACGTTCTTCTCCTCAGTGAACGAGGTTTAAGAACAGACGATATTGCTTCCCGTACATGTCAGTGTTCTTGTTTTCCTTTATATGTAGATTAAAGTTGATAAAGTACTTCGACGTACCGATAACTCTATTGTTTTCTGTTTTTGTTTATGTGCTTTTTCACATTTGTGTGTGTCGCTTAGATATTTGATCTCTTTTTGTGTCTCAATCAAATACGTATATATTATCAAAAATCTTTCTTTCGCGATTATGTAATGGCGATTGCAACGTAATCCCGACTGCACAGTATTTTGGTTTGATGCGGTCTCGATCGAATTCTCCAATAGAAACTAGTAGTACGAAGTGTAGAAATTGAAAAAGTAGGTAGACATTGTAGCAGAGGCTTTAATTAAAAAAAAAAAAAAAAAAACAGTGAACTACGTAGGACGATTGAAAAGGTACCTTGATCAATGGCTGTGATATACTTGAGTAGTCGATAATATGCATTTTATACAACAAAAAAAAAAAAAAGGAGACATCAGATGTGTCAAAGATGTGTCCACTCGAGCACTGAATTGATTGATATGTATTTGCTCTGTGCTTCTATTGTAACTATACGCAAACAATATTTTCACATGAATCAGTTATACATGACTTTCTGAATTGTTTGTATGTCACATGTCTTGTGTAAAAAAAATTCTGCAAAGGTGAATGCCAAATATATAAAATGTAAAAGTTATATAAGAAATTAGTGTGTAATATTCGAGATCTCTCTCTCTCTCTCTCTCTCTCTCTCTCTCTCTGTCTCTCAGCTTTACATATATATATTTCTTATATTCTAATACACTTATACTATGATACACTTAATAGTACTTTTTTTTTATGCGCACATATATTAATATTTTTTCGTATGCACCGGATTCCGCAGATACATGTCTTTTAGAATGATCTTTTTTTTTCAGTTGAGCGATAAATAATTTAGTAAAAGTCTTTAGAGAGGAAGCGAAATTTTTTTTTGTGTCCTCCACATTGTGCATATCATTATTAACTAATAAACGCAATAACACAATAATGCTAATTGTGATATTAGAGTTTCACACACAAACAATGTTAAAAACTATGGAGAGAGTCAAAAAAGTTGGTTATCGCAATATCCACACGCACGGAAAGACCGCAAACGCGTATTTATATATAAGTTTCTATATAGTTTTCCATCTCTTTTCTCCTCTATATGTTTTCTCTGATAATTAATTAAAACGACAACGTTCTTTGGGTAATATTGTACCGTAGAGACAACACACATTTTTTTTTTTTTGTATCGCGCTTAAAACAATAAAAGTGTGCTGTCATAAATTGCCATAAATTTCGAGTACGTCATGGCCGCACGCGCATAACAGCCTACTCTCTTTTACGTCGACGGTTCTGTTTTACTCGGTGGCTTTCTCAACAAACGAGAAAAAATTTCTACATATTGAAATTCTTGTGATAGTTGTGTTCTCTTTCTATCTATCTATCTATCTCTCTCTCTCCTTCGAATTATCGCTCCCTTTCCTATAGTTTCCCATTTCGTTTGACTTTGACCGATATTATTGAAGCTTTCATCGAGACGTGACATTTCGTACTTGTCCTGTTTTGTCAGCGTTTTTCGTTTCATTTTTTCATTAAAAAAAAATGATTAGTGCTCAGCAGGTCTTAATGTGCGTTCGAACAAAGGTGCTAGATTTTCCCGCAAAATCGTTTTGAACAATGTTTGCTAATATGTGTAGGTCTAGAAAAAAAGAATTTTAATTGATTTGTGGGCTGAAATTGTGATTTATTGCTGGTAATTTGTGATACTTTTGCACTCGAGAGTTTTAAGTAAAAACGTATTGCGAATACTTAGCGATACATCAATTGATCTCGTTCATCAGATTATATACTATTTTGTTCTTCCCCATCAGGCTTAACGTGCAAGACGTAAACGTGCGCGATAGTCTTATTTCCTCTCTCCTTTGTGCTTGTATACGAAATAAAAACGAAAAAAAAAAAAAAAAAAAAAAAACAATGCTCGCATCCGTCACCACAAGAGACGCCACAATTCAGCGACAGTATTCTGTGTTCTAGCGCGCTAGTAAAACGGGTGAAGCAATTGCAAATCCCCGATGAGGACTCCGCGGGTGGAGACTACTACCAGCTGACATACCCTAACTAGCGAGCGGAGTCCGCCGGTCCTCCCTTGAATGTCGACTAAGCAAATCCAATAACCGCACGCAGCCGATTACCGAGACATTGTAACGATATAAATGATTACACAAGGCGCAAGTTTTATTCGTGAGTGGTTGCGTTACGTAAAAGAAAAAAAAAAATAAATTTTATATTCGCACACTCACAGCTAGTTGCCTCAAACTGATTTCTACCGGTGAAGATGTTGAAAAAAAACATCTAAGTCGCGCACAATAAATAAACTAAACTACTTTCACCGTGTAAGAAGAAAAGATGCATTTATATTTCACCTGAGCGTGGACGCGCGCGCAACCACTCATGACTTAACAAACAGACATTGCCCAAGAATGAGAGAGAAGCGGGGTGATTGGAAAACTCGAGCGAGGATTACCAAATAAAATGCATACGGTTGTTGTGCAATTGGAAAAACATTAACTAACTTATGGTTATGCGCTTGCGACTTTTTGCTTAGGGATATATGGAAAACAATTTAGAAGGGAGTGACTTGTGGAATATTTTTAGTTTAGCAATAACAGTTACCAAAAATTTAGTTACGTATAAATAATAAAGTTAATGTGACTCAGAGAATTTTTATTCTCGCAAAATGTGTTAATATCGCGATTTATTATTATTATTATTATTATCAGTTTCTATATGTGATTTTTTTCCGGTCAAATAATTTTATGCGTTTTGACGTAAAAATTTGTAGATATAAATTTTAGTGGCTATTTTGACGAGACTTTGCGTGACGTTTGTTGTCGTTTTTTTTTTGTTTTTGTTTTTGTTTTTGTTCCTCAAATTATCAACTGCGTTACGCGTCTTTTTTCTTGCTTTCGGAGCAAAACTTTATAATCTGCTCTAAGAGAAGAACCTTATATAATAACGACTACACACTATTAATCAATTATCCCATCCCACCCAACAAGAATTTCTTAAAAAGCCCGTTTTGGGCGAAAAAAAGAGAAAAGGTGCTACCTCAAAGGTACTAGTTTTCTAATCCTCGCGAACCTAAACTCGAACCTACATCTCATTGATTTATTTCTCTTTCTTTCATCTATAAACGAATAATCTAAAGGATACAACATGGCTTAACGTGATTTTTTCACGATACATAAAATATATATTAAGCAACTTCTTGAGACTAAAGATAAAAGCGTCCTTATCGTATAGTCGCAAGATTACTAATTTTCAAAGTATATAGTATCGAGGTGTAGTCGAGGTATAGTATAACTGATATAATATAATAGAATTATAACCCACCGAGAGAAATGTGTGCGCCCCGCTACATGTGAGCCGCTTGAATTGAAAAAGAAAGAAAAAAAAAAGCGGTTCTTCATTCTCTTACACAAAATGGACACACACAATCTTTAGCGCGGATGTGTATACATCGAGACATCGTAAATATACACACAATGCGGATGCGGTGGCGAGAACACGTAATAGCGAGGATGATAGAGATTATTTTTCCAATTTCGTATTTTTCCAGTACGATGGTCAAAAGAGTCGAGTCCTTCCAAAGTTTGTCGTCCTGTTGCGCGATTCAAAAGCACCATTTAAGAAAAAAAAAAAAAAAAAACACAAACAAACAAAAAAAAACAAACCCGACACTTCCGACGCAAAACTCCCATTCCGCACAAGTAGACGCAATCTAGTCCTTCCATCTCCCGTCTCCTTCAACGGCCGTCTCATCACTTTTAAAAACGCGATAAACTATTAGTACCACTTAACATGTAGATATAGCACGCAGAGGATAATCGGTCCGGGGTTATCCGCGAGAACTTCCATTGTGACTAAAGTATTAATTAATCGTACATATATATATATATATATATATATATATATATACACTCGTGGCATTATAGAAAGCAGCTGTTTAGGCGTAGACGCGTAGCTCGCGAGAGCGGTCTTCCGTTTGCGAATTGATGAAACGGAGTTGATTAAATCATCTCGATGTCATCTCGATGTCACACATCTCTCCTGTTTTAGAGTTCTCATCGTGAAGAATGAGAACGCGACGGCTGTAGAAATACGCGACACTAAGATAGAATAGAATTACGTTCTCTCTCTCTTTCTTTTTTCCTCCCTTCTCTCTTTTCTTTGTTTTTCTCAATTTTATCAATGAAGTATAAATTCGAAAAGAATATTCTTTCACATTCCTGAAAATCTTCCGATCTTTCAATTCTCTTGTCGTTTAGTTTTTAGCGAAATATCTGCTTCTCTTGATCCTCCCACAGCCTTGTGGGAGCTTATCTCTATTTTTCCGCTGTGACCACGCACCCACGAAATGTTCCTCGCGTTATCGCTCATTCCCAATCCCCCGATACACGATATGTACTTGCCGTTATTTTATTACATTCAATTTTACGACCCTTTGGTGCATAAACAACTGAGAGAAATACGATTATCGCGTACATAAGCACACAACAGTCTTTTATTTAAAATGGACACCTCGCTTGTAAAGAAATTGAAGCATAGCTCTTCTCTCGCGCGGCAGCACAGCTTTAGATAAGCGTGTTTCTTTGAACACGCGCGAACTTTATTTAGTTCCACATCGGATTGCGGAACTAAAATAGCGTACAATATTGTTTTTTCCTTCAATATTAGACGCGCAGGGAATATGTCGGGAAGCATT